GATAACGAACGAAACTCGAGGAGGCGTAGACCGCGGCCTGCGCGCCCTTATATACCCTGCGACTTGGCAACGCGCCCAGTAAGGGAGAGGTCTTGGCGCGAAATTGATAGCGCGCCAAGTAACGCGATAGCCAGCGCTCCCGGCCTTCTGTTTCGAGGAGTGGCTTGCATCGCGCGAGCCGCGACAACTTGTGCCGCTTTAGGCCCCGGACAGACTTCACGCGATTTGATCGTCGCGACTGAATTGCGACGAGACAACTGTTACAACATCATTCCATGCCGATCAACTTGCATTTCGGTTGTGTTACTCTTCCAGCCCGAAATTTTTGAATGAGAAATGAAAATGAATGGAAATGTCGGCAATTGAGTCGCGACGATCAAATCGCGTGAAGTCTGTGCGGGGCCTTACATGCTTGTAACACGCGCGGGAGTCATTCTACGAGCCTAAATATGGGCTCGTTCGAAAAAACGTGACTTCCTCGATACGGTCGTATGCAAAAGAGTTGAATTTAAGAAATCCCGGAAGTTTTAAGTATGGTATGGAAAAAGAGCAGCTTCAGTGATAGGCTAAAGATTTTTCAACTTAAGAAGAGCTCTTTTCGTTAATAATTTTATTTGGAAGTTTAGTACTGTCAATTTCTTATAGTAAATCAATTTGTAGCTCCAAGACTGTTTTGTTGACGACAGGAGCCTTCACTCCAATCGCCATTAAGGCTGTGCTTTCAAAACCCATCCTTAAAATTTTCAGCATTTCTTGAACTCGAGAAATTGCTATCATCGTGCCGAAAAAGTCACGCGCTTTTATGAGCTTTTAACACATTGACGACACACATTAACACACGACTGCTTGACACACATGGTGTGTCAAGCAATGACTACCGCGTGGGACCGCTTGACACACTATGTGTGTCAAGGCTTGAGTCTTGGTAAAATGACTACTCTCCTGAAATAAACTCACTCCATGAGTTTTCTTTTGCACATAATCTAGGGATGACTTCTACCTTTCTTGTCAACCTTTCTGGTCTACCGTAGGTGTACTTTAGATGGCAGTATGCGTAATTATAGTTGAAAAAGTGGGCTGGTTCGTAAAAAGGCCTTGGTCCCAAAAGGCGGACAACTAAAAATCTGCATGGTCGTCAATGTGTTAAGCAGACTCGTAAATTGAGTGTCTGCAGAGCTACAAGCCTGTAAAGCGGTGCAAGTCAGTGGTGAGCTGCAGGTGAAGCCATGTGCACCCATTTGCTGAAGCCGTTTTCAGCAAAGAAACTCACCAGCGTACGTCCGACGCACAAGACTGGTAAAGAGCATCCATTTTAATAAAACAGCTGTGTTAGGATGTTTTGGAGAAATGTTGTGAAGAAATTTGGTTTGAAAAAGGGAGCTAGAGGTTGATTTAAAAAATTCAAAATATAGTTCTTTATAACTCTCTATAATAGTATGCCTAACTGTTTGGATTACTGGCCTTTTTGCATCAAAAAATACCGAGGAAAAATTTCGCGTTCGTTGCGCTTCCATCTTTGGACTATTTTGGTAAAAGATTTTTTAAACCTTTTAGAATCCCTGCTTTCCGTTAAATGTAATGCGCGAATGGAGCTTTTGGAGAGCTCCATCATCTGTTGCAATCAGATCATTTCTCATCCATCTAAAAATAATTAATGAAGAAAGGAGGGCGGCTTGTCCGCACTTTTTAGCGTCACTATAGCTTCAACAGAAAAGAGAAAGCGACATTTTTGCCTCGTCAGCACGTTCACCACAAAAAAACCCCATGTGTTTATTTTGAGTGATAATACGAAAGTGACAAATGGTTAGGGTGGCTTATATGTAGAGTGTTGAACCTAAAAACAATTTTGACATTCTTTTTTTGTCATACACTGTGAGCGCTCAATGTTGGTGATAAGAGTGAGAGTTTTTTTTACCTAGGGTGGGTCCAAAGGCAAAAATTGTAAGCTCCAAAAAAACAGTTTTTTTCTGTAGATTATTGATACTAGATGATAGCAGTTGCGAAACCATTGCTGCAACAAAAATGTATCTCATCAACCAAGGAGCGTTTGAGCCAATGTTGAACGTACTTATAAACCTGAGAAACAAAAGATGAATAGCAAAAAATTATATAGCTCACAGTGTGCAGATGCATCTGGCAGATAATAACTGCAAATAGCGGATAACATTTGCTACTGACGTATTATCTTTCACGAAAAAAAGAAATTTTGCCTTTGGTTATAATAGCGTAATCAAAATGATTTTGGTTTTTTAAAGAAACTTTGATAAACCTGTTCAAGGCTTTCTGCGCTTAGAGTTTTGAAATAAATTAGGTTTTGACTGATATGAAGTTCTTATTTTGTCTATTCCTTGCATTCTACCGTAGATGTGAGATATGGCTTCAAACACATACCTTTGAGCTATTTTTAAACATTGATTAAGGCCAGATAACATTCTTTAATTACTTAGTCAAAAGTGACAGTTCTGTAAAATCATCAGTTCCCAATTAAGAGCGACAGTCCGGAAAAAAACTCTTTTCAAACGAGTGCTTAACTTATCTATCTGCCAGATTCATGTTCTCAAAGAATATGGCGATATTTTTGTTGTGGGATTTGTAGTCTGATAAAATTATGTGACTGTTTGGAAGTTTCAAAGCAAATTATGCCTTTATTAGAGCTCTCTAACGAACAGCTTGAAGAGTAACTGGTACTTTCAACAATTTGCATTGAACGTAACATATCACTTCTTATCGAAATCATTCAATTAACACATCATCAAGCAGGAAGTTTCTAGCAAAATGGTCTTACTATGCTGATACAAAATACAAAATTCTGCGTTTTGCTCTTGAAGTTGTTGTGAGAAACACTTCAACAGCCCGATTAAGCTTGCCGAGCTATTGAGAAACATGCAATACATTTTACAGCTTATAAAAATTCGTAGAACCGTCCAGAAAATTTGACAGGTTTTTTCTGTTGATCTTCCGTTATTTCATAATTTGAGGCAGTGTTTAAACCAACTTAGGCCTCGGACAGACTTCACGCGATTTGATCGTCGCGATTGAATCGCGACGAGACAACTGTTACAACATCATTCCATGCCGATCAACTTGCATTCGGTTGTGATACTTTTCCTGCCCGAAATTTTTGAATGTGAAATGAAAATGAATGGAAATGTCGGCGATTAAGTCGCGATGATCAAATCGCGTGAGGTCTGCCCGGGGCCTTAGACTCTTTAGTCTCCTACTCGGAAAGTGGTTGGTAAGCTTTAGCTAAGTTTCAAAACGACAACATATGACTCATTGTAATCCTCGAGAATTTTTTGAACCTTGGCTCAAACCTCTTCTTGCCACGTTGGCTGGTTCGCTCGCAGTGAGTACGCTTTGAACTAAAATTGAAAGTTGCTTTTTCGCACCACAACCGATCGCATGAATTGCTGACCAAAGACTTGGCTGATTCTCAATCAGGGATCACTAAAAAGACCATGAATGGACTTGAATAACAGAGATGTTCCAAGATCACTTTGTTTGATCACCATTGTCACACATGGTTCTTTTTTATTCAGGGTACCTTAACAGGCATCTAAGCAACTGATTAAAAAAATATAACACGAGATTTTAGTTTTCGTCGAGTTTTTTGAACGGTCATGCAACACTGACAATGCTGACAATTTCCTGCTGTATCTCTTCGGAAGTGAGAGCTTTGGTAGTTTGTTCTAAACCACAGACGCCAGTACCTCGAAGATACGAGACATTGTGAAAGGATCAAGTGTACACGTATAAATTGTAGAATCACGCAAAATCGCTGACTGCTTCTCATTTCCGCCATACACATCTGAATTGCTGAACTTTTTTCATTATTTCCGCTGAGTCATAGTTAGAAATGGCAATTGCTTGCAAACAAAAAAAAACACACAGCATAGTCAAAGAATTCAAGATGACAAGCGGAAAGGTTAAGCTAAGGCTTAATCTTTCCGCTTGTCATTCTTGTCATTTGGTAATCAGAAAGATAGGATATCTCATCATCTTATGTAATGGCATGACTTTGCCATCTATTGGCAACGCCCGTGAGACAATCATGAATAAGCTTTTGCGATGAAAGCTAAGCACTCCTCATTCCCCGTCTGCTTTGCTTTTGATTGGGGCAAAGGTCACCAAAGCAGAATTCACTCACTGCTTTTTTTGCATTATTACAAAGAAGTTAAAAGAATGAAAATACAATGCTGGATGAGTAGAAGAGGAAGGTGTTTCAAATGTGCACCAAGGCTCAAGAATTAGGGGCTCGATCTTTGAAAATAAAAAAAAATGTTTGTTGATTTGATTCTCCCCGATGAATAAATGAAACAGACTCCCAAGCTGAAAACATTGAAAGTCGCTTTTTTTTTGGCATGAGAAATTGAATAAGTGACGCTGATTGGGGAAGACATGACTGCGTTCATACTGATCCGCAAATTGAGCAGTTCCAGCACAGAATTCAAACTCAGTATGAACGCAGCCTATATGCGGTGACGATTTTGAAATGCACTTGCACTTTTGCACTTCTGAAGAAAATGTACGATTTGGTGTTAGCGCAGAGAGTAAAACATGTTCCATCTCAATCAGGAACTTGCTGCTAATCTGTCTTTCGAGCGTGGACCAATTTGCAGGTGCAGATGAAAGTTTGATCTTAATGGTGAAGTGCTTATATCACTGTAGCCTACAGTATACGCACCCTTGCGTATCGTTCTTTCAATCCTCTCAACAAAATTTCTCGTATGCTGACGTAAAGCCACACATTACCCACCCTTTTCATCGGGACGATGATTTGATTTCAAAGGAATTTGATTTTAAACCTTTGGGAGCAAGCCTTTTACTCGTTTTTGGTAAACGTCCGTTTCACTTTCATCTCTAATCCCTTTATCGCAAAAAATTTAAACCGAAAAAAAGTTAAGAGATTGCATAAATACCAGGAAGTAGCGTAGACTCGTTGTAGTTCTAACCATCCACTAACACATTAATTTTGTACTAGCTTTTTATCAAAAAGTCTTGCTGAAAACATTTTTTGTGTTACATTTTCGCTTCTAGATGGCCAAAATGCTGTTTTTGCTGGCCGTATTCTTTATACCGGCTTCAGGCATGTCTGTGGGTGAGTGCGTAACAGCTTATTAGACACTATAGATTTGTACAAGAAAATCGCGCTCATTTGAACTGAAAACTTATGCGAAATTGCTGGAATCTAACCATTTCGACAAAAAACAGCAAAAAAATTCCATGTGTGTTACAGATGCCAATAACATGTCGGATCAGGAACTTGTTGATTATCTTAACAAGAAACAGCATTTCTTCAAGGTAAAAAGCTAATAAGCTTGATTTAGTCACGTAGGGTCTGTATTGTCGTAGGTAATTGGTACAATGTTTCTTTTAGGCAGAACTTCCAAAAATGCCGTACGAGAAGTTCAAGTCACAGTTGATGGATCTTAAATTTATGAAGAAACCTGAGAGAGCTGAAAGAGCAAAGCAGCTTGTTTTGAATGAGGACCTTCCAGAAAGGCAAGTGCTCTTCTTCCAGGGCTCATGCGATATAACTTTACATATGCGTTACAGTTTCGATGCTCGAGAAAAGTGGTCCAACTGCGTTTCTATAAAGACTATCAGAGATCAAGCAAACTGCGGTAAACGAAATTCGAAGTGATAGCTATGGTGATATAAACTCATACTTCAGGATCTTGTTGGGCTGTATCTGCAGCTTCAGCCATGTCTGATAGATTGTGTATACAAACCAAGGGACAAGATCAGGTTTGACAAAGTCGATTTATAAAAATATAAGACAGAAAGCACGTTTTATTGCAGAGGATAATCTCAGACACAGATATTCTTGCATGCTGCGGTGAATTTTGTGGCGAAGGGTACGTCTAATTTGAATGGTTGTTTTCTAAACAACATCGGTAATAACCTTTGCGGCATAAAAGCGCGATAAAAAAGCAAGCTAAAGATAAGTTTGCTTTGTACGAAACAGCTCTACATGCGCGACTATCAAAGACAAGTGTATTTAGTGATATTCAATTTCAGCAGACCTACATGGTCTGTAAAGATCAAAAACTGAGCGCATGAGTAGAGAGTTTCTTTTACAAAGATGAATGCATGAGTTTATGCTTTCAGAAGTTTTTCAACTATAAGAACACAAGTTAGTGAAATGCTTTTTTATAAACACCATTATTTGCTTTTGAGATTTCTCAAATCGTCCAACTATAGGAAGCTCATTTAGTGACTCGTTAGTAACCTTTCCCAGCATTTTTGCTCGGCTTTGCCAATGACCTGCTTGTCAGCAAACGAGGATTTCTAACAATTTCATAGTACAACACATGAGATAAAAAACTGAATTTTTCGCTTTTAGGATTATACACGGCTTGGTGTGCAATTCTCGTCGCTATTTGCAATGTCTTTCACTGATTCATCCTATTACAAACTTCTACATCCTCACCACAGGGTTATGCTCGAAAAGATTAGCAAAAATCGAACACTTGTTTGAGGAAAAATAGCGTTTGGAAAGCGAAAGCAAAAATTCGCATCGACAGAGATCAAACTGGCATCTACTATGCAATAACCGTAATGCTAACCGCTAGACAATTCGACTCCTCTAGTCCCAATCGACATTATTTCCACTCTTTTGCAAACATGTCAGAAGCGAGAAGATACGGTTTTTTGGAGGAATCGTTTCGCAGATAATGAACACAGTTTTGAAACCAGCGTTTCAAGGCAAATGTCATGACATATGTCACGCTCCGAAAGGCCACGTTCACTAGATTTTCCCGTTTCAACAGAACGTTGCATAATCATAAAAATCATCTTTATCTGTTTTCTCGAAAATTCACCGTTTTGTTTGCATGAGTGCGCAATGTTTGACGTTTCTATAATATTGTATCCGCAATACTCGTTATCAGCTCAAAGTATTGTTCAAATTGTACACTAATATTGATCATGTTAACGAAATTCAACCTAAAACCCAAGCTTCCTTACACATACTACAATTGCACTACAGCGAAGATTTTTATAATGGACTAATTTTCTCAAAAAAACTGTTTGTTTTCAGGAAAATGCTTGTATTTGAGGGGAACACTGAGATATTTTTGAGAGGAATTAGTACAGCAAAAAAACATGAGTGCAGCAGTTATTGCGCATTTTATCTGAGAAGCATGTATTTGCACCTTGATCCCCAATGCAGTCTTCTTATTAGAGTGAAGACGCTCATGGATAATTTACAGATGTAATGGAGGGTATATGCTCAAAGCCTTCCAGTATGGTATGAACTTTGGAGTATGTACTGGTGGTGCCTACAAGGCAAAGGTATGCGTTGCCCTCCCTTGAATAGAATGATTGCTGAATTCTTCAGGGTTGCTGCAAACCATACGCTTTCCATCCATGTGGTCAACACAAGGATCAGCCATATTATGGTGAATGTCTGAAGCAGAACGAAGATACACCAACTTGCCGTGCGCGATGTCAGTTCGGATATAAGACGGATTATGACAAAGACAAGATTTACGGTAATTGGCACTAAGTTTCGAAAGCATTGAAGTAATGCTGTTATGCTGTATAGCAAATTCCGCATATTTCGTCGATGAGAATGAAGATGCGATTCGAAAGGAAATCTTCACTAGTGGACCCGTTCAAGCAGGCTTTATAGTTTACCAGGATTTCCGAGCTTATAAGAAGGGAGTATACGTGGTAAGTACTCACTATTAAGCCATGCAAAATTTGAACCTTTCTTAGTATATCCATTATTTAAATCAGCGCAGATTGCTCATATCATATGCATTGTATGAGAAAGCAATTGTTCGAAACGTTTAGACGTGTTATGTTTGTTTCGACAATTTCGAAAAATGTAACGTCAAGATAACCTTAAAAAGCATTTGGTGTACTCTACTGTGCTGCAAAGAAAATTTTCTTGCTTTGTAAAAGTAGTGTACAGAAAGGAAATTTTACAAACGCAGTTAACGCTTTCATTAATTTAATGAGTTCAGCACACAACCGGAGGTCGAGCAGGAGGTCACGCTATCAAAATTATAGGATGGGGCGTAGAGAATGGTGTGAAATACTGGCTCGTTTCAAATTCCTGGAGTTCTGACTGGGGAGAAAATGGTAGATTTATTGGCGCATTTGCGAACTCGTACCAAAACATCATTTTCAATGAGATCAATTACTACTTCAGGCCTCTTCAAGATACGCCGAGGAACCAACGAATGCGAGATTGAAAGCATGGTTGGCGCAGTTATTATGGATGCTTAAACTGCCGTTTGATCAATAAACTTTTTCTCACTTTCTAGAGAATTCTCACTGAGAGAGAACTGCTAATCAGTATCCATACAATCACCAAAACTCCTGGTTTGGGAATTCACTTCATTACAATAAACAGGAGTGCAACAGAAGCTAACAAAGGAACTTGAGATTAGCTGTTTGATAGCGGCATCCATTTTCAAATATGTGAAAATGTAGCACTGTTGACACATTAACACCCGCTTGACACATATGATGCATTAAGCATAGACTACCGCGTTCTCTTGACGCACATGTTGTGTCAAGGCTTGAATTTAGGTGAAATGATGACTATTTTGATCCAAACTTACTTTAAGAGTATAATTTTTCGCTACTTCTGAAAACAACTTCCATGTTTTTTTGGTTAATCTCTGAAAGCTACTAGGTCTACTTCAAATGACAATATATGGGATGTGTCTACAAAATGTTGACGGCCCATGAAAGGCCTTGGTCCCAAAAAGCATTCAGCCAAAAATCCTCGTCGTTAAAAAGGCCTTTTCCATAAATTCTGAATCGCAATCTATGTGTTGATGCCGTTTTATAGGAATGCTAAGTCAAATTAAGTTATCTTTTATCTTTTATTTATAACCTTTTCAAAGCTTTACAATGATTAAAAGTTTCAAAATGGATTGCATTGGTTTCAGAAGGCAGGCGCTAGACTCCTTATGAGCTATAGCACAGCGACGGCCACCGCCGGTCGCTACGACTGGCGATTGCCAGCTAAAGTTGGCTAATGCATTTTAGATAACCTTTGAATCTACTGGTCTGGCGGCTGAGAGGCGGGGCAGTGTAGCCTAAATAAGGCCGCTCGCGCCCTCGACGCAGTACGCGTTTCTCTCGCGGGACTGCTCTCTGATTATTACCTAGCTTAATTGGGACACGAAGCCCCGCCTTCCAGCTGCCAAGCCACTTGAATCGAAGGGTAATATCTGATATTCATGACAAGGGCGGTCACCCGAATAAGCTAAGCGCCTACGAGATTGGCGCGCTGCAATAGCTAACGATCGCCTTGGGGTCCAAACACCTGCTTTTCTTGTATTCTAGGCCGCATTTCCCTACAGTCGGACTCTTCTAAACGCTTTCATTCGGAGCTAAGCTACTATTCACAAACTTTAACACTCTACATGTCTTGTCAACATTTTTGAATGCATGACTACAATCATCGTTCACCAGTGTATAAAAATCCTTGTACTAGTGCGTACATCGTTACCCTTTCTTGTGCCCTTTATTTCTTCCTTCAATTTTTCGCATGCAATTATACCTCTGATCAACAAATACAATGAATTTTTTGTGTCGCACAGGCTTTTTTTATGATGACACACTTTATTTTTTCTTATTTTTTGTCAGTGTATCTCCGCAAACTTCTCTGTTTCCTAAGTCTGAGGTCTGGCTGCTTTCTTCATTTTGTGTTCCCGAAATTTTTGCCTTTTCTTCTTTAAGGCGCACCTTGAGTGTACTCATAAATAAATAAAATAAACAAATCTGCCTTAGTTTTGGCAATACGCCGTCGTCGGATGAAAAGTAGTCACTTTAATCTACGTTCTCTCCGACAAACACCGTCTTCCACTTGCGTATTCGATTCGTCTTTTGCGGAAGTAGAGAACTTGGAAGAAGAGGTTCACTCACTTGTGTGTCATCAATGTAGCAGTGTTACGCTGGAAACTTGCTCGTTTGACTGCGAGTCGAAAATGAGCAGCGTATACTAGGAAACTTATATATATATATATATATATATATATATGCAGACAATCTGTAGATCAAAGAAAGTCAGATACGGCAGTAGATCACTTGTATTGGATAACTTCTCTTTGCTATAAAGTTTCGAATCACAAGCAAGTATGAAGAACGCCTTTAATACTTTTTGCGCTGATATTTGAGGCTCGTAAGCTATGATCCTGCGCTTTATGTCATAATCCATACCTTTACGCCCTTCTTTTCAATGCTTACGTAGTGGATTGATTAGACTTTGCCGTTCTTTTTAGCTAGGTGTTCGTTTACAAGTTGAACGGGCGACCAGTCTCACCGATATTGAAGGCAGAGCCTTCTATACATTGGACAACGACACCAGACTTCCCGCAATCTCCGGACTTTCCATAAGGACATACTATGCAGTCTCGCTAAATACATGTTGTATCATAAAGCCTGTTGCGGACTCGTTTTTTTAATGCTATCGATTGTCAACTAGGACATCTTCGTTAAGTTGCGCTTGTATCAGGCTTTGTTTTATAGCAATAGTAACACTCTCAAAGATAAAGGGCAGGCACAGAGCTATTTTGTGTATGCTCTTGTTGGTCTTTGCTGTAATTCTTTTTTGTTCGCCTGGGTCGCTCCTCATAGCCATTTGATACCATGACTTCACCTGCCACATTTAGCAATTCTAGTCTTTTGCTCTCATCGCTGCAGATGTTCGCTGCCATTTTGAAGAATTTCAATAACGGTCAGTTTAATAGCGGCTTGATGTGGTAATATGCGCGTAAAATGATATTTTTGCTATTCCCCATTACTGTACAACTTAATGCTCAGTGGGCCATTCACCAGCATTATCTGTGTTCAAAAAAGCCATCAACTCCGTGGTTTTTCTATTGTTAGGCTGATGTACTGCGACTATTCGTTAAGTATCTGAAACTTTCGCCTATCTCGGACTGCAATGATGTAACAATACAGCAGTCGTCGATGTAAGGACAGTGTTTGCCGGAGAAAACGTATATAAAGTGAATGACTAATTTTAGGCCTCCGACGATGGCGTGTTGCCGAAATATAACACAAATAAAGTGTCTCATCATAAAAAACCTGTACGGCATAAGAAAGTCATTGTATCGCCAATCAGAAAAAAATGCCCAGGCTTTAAGATAAGAGGACATACGGAATTCCTCTGATTATTTTCTCCTGTATGTCTCGTTCCCTACGCATGCGCGCTCCATACTTAACATTCCCGCGCGGCAGTCTCGGTAGCACTCAACTTATTTGGGTGACCGCTCTCTTCACGGATCAGATATTAGCTACCGATTGCTGGCATGTGTTTACTTGTTTAATTGACACTTATCCAAAGTGTAGCTCCCAAAACTCGCGATCACCGATCGCTACGGCTAGCCTCTCCCGTCGCCAGTATTGGTGACTGTCTCTTTCTTTGCTTACAAGGTTATTCGTTAAGACAGCTTCATTTGAAATTGAATGTGAAAGTTGTAATATTTCTTTTCATATTTTCTAAACTGCTTGGTAACTCAAGTAAAGAAAATCTAGGAAACTTTATAAAAAAATCTTTGACCGCCGTAAACTCTGCTTCTGAAAAGCGAAGAAACTCATCGTTAGGTCGTTTCGAAAGTTCTTTTCCATATCTTCGATCTATCGCAAAAACATCCCTACTATAATATGCACTGGATCCTTCCAAGCGCTACAGCCGAGTTTTCTGCGTCCCCCCCCCCCCCTATCCTTAACCCCAACATGAAAAAAGGTCCAGTTGCTGAAGGATTTCAGAAAAAGGAATGCGAAAATATATCGGCACTCGGTGTTGACGAAAGGAGAGGCCGGTAGTCATCATGTCGGCGAGAGCTTTGCTTACACTAGGGTTCCAGAGCGGAGCGGGTATTTTTCAATCGTCAGGGCGGCTGCTAGTCTTTTTGGAAGTAATTCAACACACGTCTCCGAGAATTTCCCCACAAGGGTTATCGAAGGCGCTGATTACTGAAATATGATTTATTTCAGTTTTTAGGAGTATATGGTACGGTTACGGTAGTCATTCTGTACGAACCCAACATCATGGATTTTCATGGAAAATCGTGTTTTGGGGTTATTTCTTCTGCTGATCACGATTATAGTGTCCACTTTGTTCACTACTTCCCCGCAGTGGGACCACGGTAGCAGTACGGTAGATTTTCGTAAGATTGAAGAAACTGATGTAAGAAAGCTTCATTGGAACTTGAGACTAGCATTTTCGTAATCAGCATGCTAAAAACCTACATATGTAAGGTTTGAGCCTCCTGAGATGAACAAAGCGAAAAATCAATAAAATCAACAAAATCGATAATATTTGATGGGCTGAAGTCAGTCTCATGCCCTCCCTGTATTTCCCGTGCATGTAAACTTGAATTTGCAAAAACAGCATCACTCTGCGAAAAATTTGAGCTAAAGACTGTGCCTTACCTTCTACTGTATACCTACTGTAACATTACATTATACTATCCCGAACCTGAACCACTCTGGATGGAGCTTCACCGAGGTGTTCTCAATGTTCCACCGTATATAGCCAATCTGGAGCTTCACAAATCTTACGACCCACGGGTGGGTCGTAACTTTGACAAAGCAAAAAAGGCTCTGGTCCGAAACGGCAGTAATCGAAAAATCGGCCTTGTCGTGAATGTGTTAAGATATAAGCAAATTATGAGAGGATAAGGTTTGTCCCATACTGCCCCAGTAGTACTAGAAATACTGCCAAGCTTTTTATGCAAAAGCTGGGTCTCGTTTAATCTTTTCCAGGAAACAGTAATTTTACCTAGAACGATTGTTTCCCTCTCTTCATCGTCTTGTACCTCTCCGTAAAATGTTGCTGCGCATTTGGTTCCAATATGCTGCTCATTACCTGACGCTTGATCTGCTACCGCACACTGCTACTTCGTTCTCTATTCCTCACTTGCTTTTGTTGCAAAGCTCTTCAGTTTTTCACCTGCCAAATTTTGCTCAAGACTTTGTTTGTTTGATTACCGAATGTTGAGTAAAGATAGAGTCGGCAAAGGCAGTTCCCCATGCCAAGTTAGCGTGATATGACAAGGGGTTTTGGTGACTGGGGAGACTTTTAAATCAATCTATCTTCACCTAAATGTCCTGCACTCATCCTATAGTGCTTTCAACGAATACTCCTCTAGGTAAGGATAATGTGCTTTTAGAATGAACTATTTTCTTCAATGAACTATTTTTTCCAGAACCTATCTACAAAGGTTAAAGACCCGACGATCCCGACTTTGTGCAAACTAAAAATGAGCAGCAACTTATAGGGCATTCGAGAAATCGTGACGATGATGCGACAGCGCGCGACACGCACGCGCATACCCGACAACCGCTATATTCTCGGTTTTAATCTCTACTCGGATGGTTTTTCGACTCAAACATGATAGCATTAAGACACTGGAAGTGACTGAGCTGAGAGTTGAGGTGATGCCTTTGAATATGAGTATTTTCTGCTTCTGTAGGCACGAAGACCGCAATCAAGTCCGTTTTCACGATTTCATGAATGACCTATAGATCACATCAACTCATCAACGAATCCAAACTATTGTTTTCCAAAGTACCAACAACACTGTTCAGGCAGATTTGATATCTGAGCTGAGAGGGAGCAACTTAAAGGCACCGTCCACCCAGATTCTCGACTTCCAGGTTTTTGTCGTTTCAGGGCCTTCTCATGTCCCTGATTCCAAATATGAAGGCGAAAATCTTCGAAAATCCCGAAAATTCCCATTTCGGAGAGACCACAGGCCGGCTTCCCAGAACGGTGATTGGATGAGCGCGCGCAAATGGGCGGGCATGGATGGGGAGGGGGGGGGGCATGGATGGGGGTCCTCGCGCATCTTAGCTATTCCGAAGCGATTTTCTCGTTTCCGAAGCGGCATTTTGCGCAGCAACTTGGGCATTGGCTTGATAGGAGGCCTTACTGTTATATGCTGCCAAAAGCTCAGCACCCTCAACTTAGGGTGGACGGTGCCTTTAACCACTCAAGACATCTATGAAGTTCTTTTTAATAGGGTTGGAGATTTCCTTCAATCTTCAAAGGTGGGACAAAACGCATATTGTACTCTCACACTACAAATTGTGTGAACTACTATTTTGAATAGTTTCTGGACCAGAAGATTCTCGCATTCTCGTGGTCCCTTGAGCTGCTTGCGCGCTAGCGCTTTAAACTTGGTTACTTCGCTTCGAGATCGAGAATCGTTCTCCAATTAGAAAGTGGACTACCTGATATTCTTTGCTGATAAGCTTTATGCACACTCGAGACAAAAACCTGACTTGATCGTCTTTCCTCCCCAGCGATAAATGCCGGGGCTAGCATGCAATATGGACTTGTGCCTCCCTGGTTTAAACTGTAATGTGACTAACGCGAATTCAGAATTAGCTATGCGAAAATGAGGACCGTCTTGCGCGTAATCGTTTTCCACAATTCTAGCTGGCCTTCACAAAATTCTGGAGTCTCTGAAAAGTCCTGGAGTCCGTGGAAACGATGCAAAAAAAACTTCAGCTGTGTTCTCTCAACTAAGACATTCCAATCATGTATTTATGTAGTGCTTCAAACAACTCAAAAAAATTCATTTTCTCATGCAGATTCTACAGGGTGTCCCAAAAAAATGTTTCGAACGTTTGATCGTTAATATCTCTCTTCCCAAGAAGTCTTTTGCCTTGCTTCAGGTACCGTTTTGTAGAGCTGGCTTCAACTTAGATTTGCATTATAAAACGAATCACCCATCTCTCTTCATTACTGTAGGATTACGGTAGAAACTTGAAACATATGGCGTCAATATGGAAAAAGCTGCCTTTTCAAAAATTTTCAAAATAATGTGAAAACATGTGTAATAGGGTTTTTTGGACGCTGAGTTCAATGCTAAACTATTCACAAGATTACGAAGCTTTCTAAACGGTTTAATCGCACTTTTTAAGAACATTGAAAAAATGGCCGCTACCTCTTACCTGGCATAACTCTTCAATGAAGCATCATAACAAGTTGGGAACTTTACAGTTGTAATCAGCAACTCTAATAAGCCTAGTGTAAAAGTTTTCAGGCTGTTTTGTTTCTTTTTTGAGGCAAAATATGGCCTTTCATGGCTCAAAACCCTCTTTGAAGTTTCTACCGTAATCCTAGAGTAATGAAGAGAGATGGGTGATTCGTTTTATAATGCAAATCTAAGTTGAAGCCAGCTCTACAAAACGGTACCTGAAAGGCAAAAGACTTCTTGGGGAGAGAGATATCAACGATCAAACGTTCGAAACATTTTTTTTTTGGGACACCCTGTATATGAAAACTCTACTTGGCTCAAAACAAAAAAAACAGCATGGACAAATGCGCAAAATTTTGAGATCATACGATTATCTATAAAAAACAGCTATGTACAAGAGATCTTGATATGTTTGGACATCAATCAAATTGTAGAGATCATTTGTTCCTGTATTGCTCGAAGCGAGAAAGATGACTTTTGTCCACTGAGGGCACAAATGTTGCAAGGACATCTTCAACGTCACGGCGAGACAAAGCTTGCCGAATGTTACTGCCAGCATAACGCTGCTTGTACTCCTGGAATGCTGCAATACAATCTGCGGCTTTGAGCTATCAAAATTGCTCGTGCCCATCTATTAGCCTAAGAACGGTCAAAAACATTAACGCTCGAAAATGAAGACGGGATATATTAAGAATATATAGTGGGATATATTAGTATTAAGAATCAAAGAGGGAAGGGGGTCGTAATTAACTGCTACTGATGTCAGCGACAACATGATATGCTTACTTGAAGGCAGCGTCCCGGCAAAATCTCGCAATCCAGTTTTCCACCTATTCCGAGCCTTCTCACTATGAGGAACCCAAATCTGGGCTTTTCAGCGCATGAAAATGGTGAAGAACATTCTTCGAAGCTCTCCAGGACCGCATTCAGTTGTACGCCGGAAGTCTTCCGTACTCCACCTCCCTCATTCCGGATCTTTACACATATTCCCCCTGAATGGGGATCTGGGAACGAAAAAAGCTTAATTCCGCCATTTTCAAGCGCTGAAAGGTCCAGAAATGAATTCCTCATGGCCAGAAGGCTCCAAAAAGGTGAAGAACTAGAAAACGAAATCTTGCCGGGACATGCCTCTAGGTTCAAAAACTTTTTTTCAATATTTTATTGAATATTACTTAGTAATCGAAATTCAAATTCTTGCCTATTGTCACTCGAAAATAGAGATTGTCGATTATTCGACTTAATATTATTCGAATAATTCATTGTCTACGAAACGACTGTCTAAAAAAGACCAAGTCTACCGATGAGTTGGAAATATCGGACAAACATTTAGGGTAGATACTTCTATTATGTTACACTTTATGTTGAACGCCCTCTATCTTAAAGAGACCAAAACATCTAACGATGAGTTGAAAACTTCAGACAAACATTCAGGATAGATACTTTTTTTCATGTTATACTTTATGTTGGGGCGCCCTCTACGGAGACATTTAGAGACTTGAAAAACTTGGAGCTAATTTTGTGATGTTTGTGGAATCCCAAGAAATGAAGACTATTAGTTCAAATCGTGGTGCTCCTTACTTGTGAAATTGCTGCGACATGGAAAGACGGCGCTCTTGAATACTGCTCGGTTACCGCGTTTAAATCATCCAAGCATATTTCTTTAAGGGTTATGGGTTGTTATATCAGGCTGGTTCCAAATTCATTCACAACATTCATAATATTTCGCCTTTTGGTAATTTTTTAAAGAAGCAGAACGCGCTTTACTACAGTGCCTTTGACTTGAATTAGTGTGTAAATAGAATAAGACATAAATGGAGAAATTCACCCAAAATTGCCTTTTTCAATCAAGATCATTAAAATATTAAAAGGTTCGGATTAGGATAAAAACTAGATAGAAGAACATTTTTTTACGAAGCTGTTTCACGTTGGGTCAAGCTGTAGACTTCACATTTTATGTAATTTTAAGTGCCAATCTTGAGCAGTTTCTCCATTTGCCTCTGACTCTCGCGTCAAGTCCAAAAAAACCCGCAGTAAAATGCCTGAAGTCTGCTTTCAACAAAAATTGTTTTCAAGCAGATTCATCGAGGTGCAAAGAAGCCAAGATTTCAATCAAAAAGGGGCAGGCGAACTCAAGGGGCGAATCTATATGCTAAAGTTATCGAATATTCGAATATCCGATGCTTATCGAGTATTCAAATACTTGGTGAACATTTGAATAATCGAACTAGTGGCCATCAACAATTCGATGACTTGCATACAATAATACATGCATTCATTTGAATGCATGCACCCGGGCAGCTACAAGCGCGCGTGAGCACCTAATAATGCTGCAGCCGACTGTAGCGGGTGAGTGACTTTTCATACGATGAGCAGTTCTGAGGTGCGAGGTATGAACATCTACGGCTAGGTGTGAAGTCTCGAACCTCGGCGTCTAGTATGTGCTGCAGAAGATAAGATTTGCGGGGGGGGGGGGGGGAGGGAGGGGGCAGAGGGACTTTTCATACGATTGCTTCCAAATTAACCTGACCTTTTGGCAACGATCCAATAAGATTTGACAATATGCCAGATTTGGCCCTGCTGGCTCCATACCAAAGAGTGAAGCATCTAGATTACCTTATGCAGCACAGCGAAATCAGAAAGAGAGCAATTTGAAGGCTGTACGAAATAAGCTTTACTCTGAGGCACCTGCCATACTTGATCCGCTTAATTCACTTGGTCCGCTTGATCCGCTTCATCATTGGTCAATTCAGTGAACCAACCAATAGTGAAGTGGATGAAGTGGATCAAGCGGATCAAGCGGACAACCGCTTCGCTATTGCTCAATTCACTGAATCGACCAATGACGAAGCGGATCAAGCGGATCAAGTGGATTAAGCGGATCAAGTATGGCGGGTGCCTGAAAAGTAACATTGTAGTTGCAAGGTCCGGTCTTCCCTACCCCAACCCCCAAAACGGAAAATCCATCTGACATAAATCTCATAGAGGGAAATTTTCCAAAATTCCAAACTCATTGCATTTTTTGCCTTTGCTTCCGCTTAAGTATCATAGAAGAAACCAGCTAAAACTGAAAGCATTGCAGAAACTGAGTTTTCACTAACAAATTCTTCTTACAGAATTTTTCACTACTCTTGGATCTAATCGATTTTGCAAAAAAGTGTCACATGCTGTCCATCCGACTATTTGGCATACCCTGGAAGTGTTACTTCCCCATAAGGGTTGAGAAAATAGAATACCTGGAACGGACCTCATCATCAGGCTTATCCAATTGTTTACGAAAATGATTGCGCTGTGACTTGGCGGTCTTTACTATGATCCCTTCAAAACCAAAGGGTGATAAAGAAGTTTTGCGATGGCCGGAAGTGCCCAAGAAAAGTATTTGCAATTTTGCTCAAACGAAAATCAAAAATTGTAGATATGTACATAAGTATGTATATGTCTTACAAATATCTTGTGCATTTTCGATAATTAAGATGTTCTGTCCATTGTAATCGATACGTGGTCCTAGCCTAGCATTCCGGCTTAATGCTGAAAGGTCAAGATGATCAAGGAGCCATCGTATGAATAGCCCCCTCTTCCCCTCCCCCCTCTTTCAGCCGTAGTGGACAATCTTAGGGCCGATGCACTAACAACCCCGCTGGGGAGGGGATCGCAGCTCAGAAGAAAGGTTCATATTCTGGAGCTCCAGATATCTGGATTTCACGCTGTCTACCTGTCCGCAAGTATTCCTACTATCCTTCACTACGAACATGTTGAACAGGAGCGAGAAGCTGTACAAACCGCATTTTCCAGCTTTATATGATCCCTGATGATCCCCGGCGCTTTTCTTTGAAGTCATTTTTCTTTCTCCGAAGTTAAAGGCAGCGTCCAGGCAAATCTGGACACATGGGGATCTCACGTTGATAGTAATTTTGGGGCCCTAACTAAGCCACTGCCCAACCGGCAGCTCAGGTAATGCTTTAACGGCTGAGATATTCCCTTCGAAATTGGACCCCGCGATCGTATTTCGCATGGATTAATGGCGCAAAGCGTGGATCCTGGCGCGAAACTGCCATGAATCCATGCGAATATGATTGCGGGGTCCAGTTTCGAGGAGAATATCTCAGCCGTTTGAGCACTACCTGCGCTGCTGCTTGCGCAGTGCCTTAGTTAGGGCCCTAAAAGTACTTTCCACGTAAAATCCCCATAAGTTCAGATCTGCCTGGACGCTGCCTTTAACGAAAAACGTCCAAAGTTGTGCTGATTATCTAACCCGACAGTGCTAAGCATGTTGCTGATAAGAACAAATGATGTTTTGAAGTCGTGAAATTTTCGATGATCCACAGGTCGAAATTTGAGGTTTACCGAAAAATTCGACTTTTCAAAAACTCATTTGTTCTCATCAGCAACATGCTTAACACTGTTGTGTTAGATGTGCAGTACAACTATGGAAGGTTTTCGTTAACTGGAGAAAGAAAAATGACTTCAAAGAAAAGCGCCGGGGATCATCAGGGATCATACAAAAGCTGGAAAATGCGGTTCATACAGCTCCTCGCTCCTGTTCAACAAGTTCATAGTGAAGGGTAGTAGGAATACTTACGGATAGGTACACAAAGCGAAATCCAGGTATCTGGAGTTTCGAAATATAAAGCTTTCTTTTAAGCTGCGATCCCCTCCCCAGCGGGGAAGTTAGTGCATGCGGCCCTTAGTCACTGCGTGGGTCGAGGGGTGCGAAGTAGGTGTGAGGTAGGTGCGAAGACTAGGTACGAAGTCCTTGATCGTATGAAAAGTCCTCCCCCGCAGCCGACTGTAGCCAATCACCAGCCGTTGCGATAGTCTTACTCGTGTTGTCTAAGACATGCACCATACTTGATCCGCTTCATCCACTTCGCTACTGGTCAAATCAGCAAATTGACCAATTGCGAGGTGGATGAAGCGGACCAAGTGATCAAATATGGCGCCTGCCTAAGATGACCAAATAAGGGAGCGCATTTCTCTTTTCCGATGATATCTTCTAGATAGTACTGCTTGATATATCCTTAGTAGAGCAAACATGAAGACGAAGAGCTCGCGATAGGCTCAATGAGCTGCTTCTTATTTCTCAAAAAGAAACCATAATGGAGGTTGAATGGGCTGAGGAAATTCAGCAAATGAAAATGATTTTACGGAAAATGGCCGTAGATTTACCTTGTAATAGCGGAACTGGGTGTAGGCTAGTTCGCTTGCAAATCTTCGGATATCGTCACCGCTAAAACCGTCAGTGATTTCAGCAATCCAGATCCTTGATACATCGGCTTGCATAGTGGTATGCTTGAACGAGGTAAGTTTTGGTTATCTGTTGGTCTGCGGGATAGACTCACCATGAGACGTTGATTCAACATTGCAATTCTTGCTTCGACGTCAGGTAAACCAATGTAGATCTTCTTCTCAAATCTGCAATAAGCTTGACTCATAGAAAAATGGACAGCGATTTCGGAGTGACCTCCTCATAAAAGCAGGGTCTAAATCCCAAGGACAGTTTGTTGCACAAATCAAAACGACGTTCGATGTTGTGTAAAGTCGTTGCAATTGTACGAGGAGCTCTGTCTAAAGTCGAGACAACCACTGTGCAAGCACTAGGAGACTGTCTTTGTTTGCCAGTCATACTAACCTTAACTCTTCGATTAGCATCATCTTCACTTGAGCAGCGTGTTCTGCACAGACTATCAACTTCATCTATGAAAATAACAGCTGCTGTAAATTTCAGGCTCATGGAATTTTGAATATGATTCTCTTTATGAGTTATACTCTTTGTCTGGGCAATGGCGTGATCGAAAAGCTCTCGAATGAGTTTCTCTGACTGTCCACTCCATGTTGAGATCAAATCAGAGGAGGAAACCTTGAAGTAGGGTATGTATGAATTTAATCCAGTGATAAATAATGTACCTGATATAAAAGGGAACCTGTTTCTCTGACAATAGCTTGCGAAAGTATCGACTTCCCTAAAGAAGAATTATCCATTGAGGATAAATACGCCTTTTGCATATGTTCCGGGAAATTTGAACTCTTACTCTCATCCGCGACATACATCTAAAGCTTAAAATGCTTTGGTTGATAAAGTTGTCCACAAAGCTGCTCGAGTTCAAATTTGATACCATTTTTCCACCTTGATATACAGTCTGTCCTATTCAAGATCAGGCTGACACAGCGTAAATTTGCGCGCTCGCAGCGCTGGAATTTTGCGATGCAAATGCGCATTGTTGAAGAGAACGAAGAGGTTGAAGAGAGAGCATTCAAGTAAGGAGTAGAGAGACCAAAGCGCGGTGAGCGCACCACCCTATCTGGCCTGATTCGGATTAGGACGGACCGAAAATGCAAAAAATAATGCCCCATCTACGCATTTCATTAGAAACATAAGAGGAAAGAAACAGCATAGCTCGGCAAATTGGACCCCTCTCTGGTGGTAGGTAGTAAACCGTCCAAGTACATCATAGCCCCAACTCCATTCTCCCTTTCATGCGGTAAGTCTAGAAAGACGCTATAAAAGCCCACCGGTTCCGCTCACTTCCATTGAGTGGGAGTCATTGACGGGCCTTGAAAGCGCGTTTTCGGGGATTCAGCGCATGGATACGGGGCTAGAGTTGGGGCTACGATACTTGGAGAGTCTATCTCTAACACCCCAGAATGTGATAGGGTTCCATTTTTGCCGAGCCACTATTTTTAACGCATCTTCTCACCTGTGCCAGGAGGTCCATAGAGAAGAACAGCTTTCCAAGGTTTTAAATCGGAAGATTCGAACCATTCCGGATATTGAACTGGATCTACCAAAGCTTCGAATAACGCAGACTTGGCCTGGAGACAGTAGATGAAGAATGATCACAACATGATTTATAGATTCAACTACCAAGGATGTGAAAAAGATTATCTCTGCAGCTCACCTCAGCTAAACCAGCAATATCACTAAATTTTGGAAGATCATCAGTGTTACTCAAAATCGTGGATTCAATCGCTTGCCTGAATCCGTCGAATTTACATAGATTCTGATATCATAGATGTTTCTGTAACAAAATAGAAACTTCCGGCTTCGTCAAAACAACAGTAACCTATATCATGAGAGTTTTATGCTCAACTTACAATTCACATACACTGTGCTTCTGCGTTAAAGCCGGTAAACATTTTGAAAACAGAAAGCATAATGAGCACTAAGGCTTCCAAAGTTGCCTGCGCCAGGTACCAGCACCGTGCTATAGCCGCGCCAAAACTGTGCCAGGTCCAGGTCGATCAGTACGCAACGTGCCCATATTAAGGCACGGCGCTAGCACCGGTGCAACGCTGAAGTCGTGCCAGCACACAGACAACTTTGGACGCAGCCTGAAAAAACATGCTTACCTTCGACTGGCTGCAAAACTATCCAGCACTTCTTCCTTCCTGCAGCTGGAGTTGGCAACCTCGGCAAATGGAGACATCCTGCAATATTTACTGTAAAGTTACGAACCTTTCACATAGGAGCAGTCTATAAGTCAACTGCTTCCACTTGTAAATATTCGTTCGGCTACACCCAAATGTCTTGCAGAGAATGCGATCCTGTGGTGGCAGACTTGAAACTTCAGCCCAACTTCTTCCTCGGTCATCTTTTACATTATTTTCGCGGCGCACGCAGACAACACCAGACGCAATATACACCTAACTCTCAGAATGCTACCCTCCGCTACTCCGCTGGTAACTTTTGGATACCCTTCGATGCAATGCAAGTCAGGTACGACTTCGTTCCGGCTGCCCCGCGTAGTTTCTACTAGCAGCCATCTATTCCATGCAACCAACATGCTGGGTGGCAGGAATGGAATAGACATTTAGTAGGCTTAATCATAGTGTTACAGTCCCAGGGCTTAGTTCCTCAAGATCGCCCTGCTCGTTCTTTGCGCCGCCTTCGCAAACTATCCTCTGGACATTTACCCACTCCTACGCAGCGATTGAAGGGGGATGTCCGGAGGATACACTAACAAAAGGACGAGCGAGGCGCAGGGGCGGCCGCAAAGGCCCAAGCCGCCGCAGCAGTGATACGGTTTGAGACAGCCTATATATACGTGTCTCAATGTGAGTGTCACAGCTTTGGCGGTTCAGATCCTCGCGACTGCCTTGCTTTGGGCTTGTCCCGCATACGCGATTGTATCCCCTGCGCATTTTCTACGTCTCAGCTGCCCTTGCTGACAATTAGCCGTGGGAAACTGCCCAGGGGAGTATGTGCGCGAACAGGCTCCATGTCAGGAGTCACGCCGCGCGCCGCGCCGCTTCGCCGCGCACGTCGCGTTCAAATTTTGTACCCCATAAAACTGCCCGGAGCTAAAGTGGCACGGCGCCAGTCTAGGGGGGTGGGGGGTGGGGGCAGATACATGGCTCGTGCCATAAGTAAGACTGCACCAGGAGTGCTAGCTTCTGTTTTGCTGACATCGCCTGCGGCATCGCTTCGCGAAAAATTCGCGCCGACCGTGACTCCTGACCGTTCCCCCGCGAACACGACACAAGTGCGCAGCGAAGCGGCCGCGAAGGACTAAGCCGACCGTGACACTCACGTTGAGACAGCCTTTACTACTCTTTATGTGCAGTCTGATTATTTGTCCGCAATTTCCTACAGGCCTCGGACGAGTTCCCGCGATTTGATCGTCGCGATTCAATCGCCGCGATTTCCATTCATTATCATTTTACATTCAAAAATTTCGGACTGGAAAAGTATCACAACCGAAATGCAAGCTGGTCAGCATGCAATGAACTCGTAACAGTTGTCTTGTCGCGATTGAAACGCGACGATCAAATCGCGTGAACTCTGCCCGAGGCCACATGGAACTAACTTTAAGAATTGTTTAAAGCGAAAAAAAAACCTGGACGAGCGTGTGCTTGCGTTTTGAGACACATTCAGATCTTTCTCGCCATCAGCAATGTCTTGCATTTCAGAACCTGTGCCAGCCTATAAAAGAGTTTTGTTTGACATTGCTTAAACATATTTAGCTAGGGGCTATTGCTACCGAGCGACTCACACTTCTATCATGCTGCCTCAGAGCAGCATCTAGCAGCTGTCGTGCTACCATCAGAGATGACATGTGATCTTGGAGGAGATCACTTTCTTGAAGCCGATTTTTTACAGAATCGAAGGATGAGATTAGCTGAAAAGTACTTCAGTGCTCTACCATATGTATCCTACATCCATCATGGAATTCATGAAAAAGGAAAATATTGATTATAACATGTGAATGACGAGCATAAAGTATTGCGCACCTTGGCAATGTCCTCTCTCTTAGCATCTTTTCCTTGTTTTGTAATTTCCTCCAACGCCGAAGAGAAAGAGGTAAGCCAATCATACAACTCCTCATCCAACCAATACAGTTCACTTAGTGACATTTCCAAGTCAATTGCAAAGGCGATTTATAGAATTTTTTCCTGAAGCAAGTAATATGTGAAAGTAGAATACCATTGTTACATATTTATAGCCCGCGTTGTGATAGGAGGAACCGGTGCTACCGCTGAGCGTCGCTTCCACAAAAAATTCCTCGTGTCATATACGCAAGAGCATGTGCAAAAGCAGAAGTTGGAACGGGAGTCACCCTCGCAACGGCTCGCGGTTTCGCAGTTATAGTATGATCGGCTCCCAGATTCGTGCGGAGGTGTATTGCAGACTTTGCCTGATAACACATGTAAACTTGCTAAACCTCCATGTCATAGCATTGCTTTTCGTAATCTCTCGCTAGCAAAAACCGCCACGCGATGAGTTGGCAAGACTCCACCTCCACACGAATCTGGGAGCCGATGATATATTATATCGCGCTAAGACCCATGTCGTCTCTTCATGACAAAACGGACCTTTCCTTCGGACCAGGAAATTGGCATGATGTGCACTGGCATCGCCACGGACTTCAGTTACCACTGCTACGGGAGTCGTGCAGGGGCCATCTGCTCCCTGCAAATTCCTTCATCTCATGGTCAGTGCTTTGTGAGCCTAACTACGACACAAAACCTTAGCGACTGCGGACTATTTACGCCGATTTTTGGAATGACCTCTTTTTGAATAGACATAACCGCAAAAATCTAGACCATCTGCCGGAAGGTTTCGCTTAGTTCGAAAACTACAAATGAAACACTGGTTTTTGAGATGAACATTCATACACTGGACTATTTTGGGTTATTACAAGACAAAGATCTGCGAACGTGTCTTATGCCATAACTTATGCCATAACTACGATCCTTTCAAAACGCGCTAACCACTCGATCTGTAAGTTGCCAGTTGTCTGCAAACATCGCGTGCAGACTTGAAGTACTACATAAACGTGTCAAGTCCAAGAGGTGCACTCTCTTGACTTGAATCCTTCACCCTGATTGTCTTACTTTATATGAACATAACATTTAGGCTCCCGCCAGAGTGCCGAAGTTATGCCAGCGCTACGCCAGCATTTCGATCGATACACGTGTATTTCGTTGGGGCGGGGCTAGCTGACGTCCCCAACGAAATACACGTGTATCGATCGAAATGCTGGCGTAGCGCTGGCATAACTTCGGCACTCTGGCGGGAGCCTTATAACTAGAATCTTTATTATATATTTGCATGTATAAGAGAAGGGGAAGGGTAACCGCCGGTCACCCGGTTAGGCACAGCTCATCTGGAGTTACTGGGCACCGCCCAGTTGGCGTGGGGACTGTCGGACCATCCAATTAGTCTGCGTCTCGACATGTCCATTCCATAGTAAAGCTCGTCCCGAGCTTTCATCTTTGACCGTGGCTTGGGAGTAGTAAACCATTGCCGACACGTACTTAAATCTACACATGGCTGCGCAAAGCGCGCCCCATGACCCGGCGCCAAATTAGCCAGCGCGCATGGTTCACGATGCCGGAGCACGCTAGGTACTTTAAACTCTATGATTTTATGCATAGAGTGAAGGCAGTGTAACCGAGGATTCTTCGCATACGGTGAAATCAATGTAATCAGTGATTCTTTGCATATCTACATAGTTGATAAGCAAAGAATCATTGTACATTGCCTGATCATGGTGGGAATGTGACCACTGTGGCCTGCGCTAGGTTGCATTTATAACGTGGGGTATTTGTATATTTTCCCGTCGGTTCTGAGTACTATGCTTATGAGATGACGGATGCTTGTTTGTTCCATCTCATTTGATGCAAAGTAACATTTCGGATTTATTGGCCCATTCAATAGAGCGTGAGACAGTCACACTGGTATGTTATAGTATGTTCTCTGATTATAAAACGTGGGCATTGAAATTATGAACTTTCTTGTAAGCCACACAGGTAAACATGATAATAAACCTATGTGGCGTACAAGAAGGTTCATGATTTCAAGTCACACTGATGTTTTTGTTGGCATGCGTTCGCTTTTCATCGCACAGACATTAATCGTCAACTTAAGAAAAACAGGAGCAGGGCTTTCTTGATCAAGAACCATCTCGTTCATGCCTTCAAATGGATTGCTTGTTAAAATGTTAATTTAAATATGGGTCAAATTGTCCCCACCAAAACTTATAGGCCAAACTCTACCTGAAGAAAAGGTAAATGCGGTTCCACACAATCAGTTTCGAGAATTGTTGTTTAACAATGATGGGTGCCTTGCAAAGACCATGGACGAAATTAGTTTGGAGTCACTGTCCACTAATGCTTCAGGTTCACGTTTTGTTAAGAACACAACAGAGCATGCAATTTTACAAACTAAGTTGTCACTACTTACAAACAGTTGATGGAATCCACTAAGTCAAGTGCAAGACCAGCGAAAAGTGCTTGACCGCCTCTATTCCCATGTTCCGGAAAAGCCCATACATGAAGAAGTGAGTGAATGACACGAGGATTTCTCAGTAAATCCTTTGTTTTTCGATCCATCGATCCGCGCGCATTCTAAACTCAACGCGTCTATGCATGCCTTATGATGCTTAAAGGCAGTGTCTAAGCAAAAAGTCGATTTCGAGATTTTGTGCTTACCTGGGCCTATCCGCTATGCTGAATCCGAAAATCAACACTAGAGAGCGCGAAAACGGCGAAAAGGGCTCTAACGGAGGAGGGAAATTGGAGGTGGGCGGGGCTGTTCACACAGTGGCGTCACTCTCCCAGCTTCAGGAGCGATCTTCTTGTTTCCGCGAGTCACCTTAACATCACCACCAGCTAACTGCAAAACGCATGACATAAAATCGGAACCGAGAAGATCGCTCCTAAAGCCTGGGAGAGTGATGTCACGGTGTGAACGGCCCCGCTCACCTGCGATTTCCCCTCCTGCGTTAGGGCCTTTTTGGCGTTTTTGCGCTCTCCATTGTGGTTTATCGGATTCAGCATGGCGAATAAGCCCGGATAAGCACAAAATCTCAAAATCGAATTTTTGCTTGGACACTGCCTTTAACAAGTACTTTTTCGCTCCAGTCACCAATCATCATATGACTGTGCCCGATGGCTTCAAGCCCATCCGTTCCTGCTCTTTGGAGGGTGCACATAGATGTGAAACAGCAATGCATTCATGAAAAACAGGCAAACATCGAGAAATTCTGCTATGAAACAGACTTGATCCCTAGGTTTCAGTGAAAATTAAGAGCTCTTTTACAATGCCTTTTTCAAACATTGGTCGTTGAAAAGTTTTATCAGGATGGACTGAGGCATCAATACTTTTTTGGTTTCTAACGAAAAGAACTGGATAGAAGTTCTAAGATAGCTTTCAACAAATCAATCAATAAAAAAGTTCTGAGCTGGTTTCGTTAGAAGCCAACTTAGAACTCCTATCCACTAGTCTTCAAGACTTGCATCAAACGCTGGATAGGATTTATGAGAAACTACATATCGTACTGACTGGCACTATCCGACACGTTTATGGGCAGAGACTCGGTCATAAGGACAGAAATCAACAATACCTACGATACAGCTTTAGCCGCCTATGTCAGACAACTTTCATGAATACTCTCTCCAGCTTCTTAATAAAGAAACTGTGGTAAATGCAGAAGGTGGACCTTTTTCAAATACGTAAACGAAGAGAAATCTTAGAAGAGACCTCTACTTCGCAAGTGTGAGCCTTCAATTACCATGAGAAAGCGCTGCATATACGGAATATCACCTTACGTTAGATTTGAGGTGTGAATATGTGGAAGACCTCCAGGGAAGACAAGTGACAGCACTCATATAAAACTATTTACTCGTAGAATAGAAATCCACAATGTCTAGCGTGCCCCAACAGCGAAGATCCTGCGCGCCGGAGAAAGCGCTGGGGCATGGGGCGCGCTTTGCGCAGCCATGTGTAGATTTAAGTACGTGTATGTACCATTGCCGTCATCGAACTGCCCATTACCATTTGTTTCAACATTGCTTCGTTTGAGGGCAAGAGGGTGTCGTTGATACCATTATCGTCATCAAAATTGCCCATTTACCATTTGTTGTCACTGACTGCGGGCAGGAAAGGTGTTGTTGATCGCATCTTGCTCAGTCGCTTGATTGCTCTTCGAATGCATGTGGACAGGGGGAAAAGGGCTCCTAGGAAAAAACGGCTTTCGCACGCCCTATCAAAAGAGGAGCTCGTCTCGAGCTGAAGATTAAGCGGAGCAAAGTAAGCTTGCAAATTAGATAATTATTAAAGTATAAGGCTTCCGCAACTGTTCCGAAAGGTGTATCAGAGCGATAATGATGATATCAATGCAACGTAGATGGGTGGGCTCTATCCGAGTTGAGGGAACGAGCATTGCAATGATGGTAAGGACAACGATATGGTAGGACGGTATAGCTTAAAAGATGAATTGGGATATGTTTAAAAGTTTTGATCTGTGGTGACGGGGTTGGCGTGAATATGGAAGAAATAAACACATGGGAAAAAATGCAAACAGCATTTTTAAATGAAAATCAAAATCGCTAATGTGACAGAATCTTCAAAATTTTGAGGTTTTGAAGATTCTTTGTTACAGCACTCAGAAAAAATCGAAGGCAACAAAAACATGAAATTTTTCGGAAACTATCATGTGGGCAACTCAAGAGGAAACACTTCCCTGACGTTGCTCACAAGGGCGTGAGGGAATTTTGAATGACTGAAAGGCTTCTCCGAGCTGCCTATCGGAGAAGTCTTTCCTGTTATAGTGCAGACGCTTGTGGCAAACTTACTCTGTGCCAGCAGCCGCTGCGTAAATGAAGTTAATGGGAAGTTTGCTACTGGCTCTCAGAACATCCTGTCTTTTCAGACGCTCTGAACATCTGATGGCAGAAAACAATTGCAACACAAAGGTGAACACAGTATAATGGGGCATATAGTTTCTGTCTTACTCACATGCTCTGAACATGTGAGTGTAGACTAAAACTCGAACAGAAAATCGATTATAATACAATGGTGACCACTTGACATGGGAACAATGACGACATGCAGAAAAAACAAGATTTTCATGAAACGGCTATTCGAGAATACCAATTAGAAGCGAAACAAAATTCAATGCTTTTGTATGTTTTCTCCGGCTAGTCGCATCTATTTCTTTGATTCGCTTCCGCATATCTGAAAGCCTGTCGCGAACGTACTAGCCTCCCTAGGTTAGAGTCAGATTCCGTTCGCACTGTATGTTTCGCAAAAATTAGAGAAAAGTAGTGGAATCGACTCAGAAGCATTCATCACTTTGATGAGTTGATCAACTAAAAAAAAATGCAAGCGAGTTATGCTGTTTGTTTGAGATCAGCAACTAGGAAAAGGTTTTTTGTTCAATCTACGGCCGATTTTAGTCAAATTCATAAACATATTCAAACGTGGTGCGAATTGACTTTGACTTTTTTTGAGCATTTGTTCTAATCTGAGAGCGGCTTTTTTTTTACGCAGGGCGATTTCTGGAAAAGTCAAACTAGGAAGGTTAGGCGAGCATCTTGTACCCATCTATTAACTGTTTACTCCTCCTCGAACATCACTTTCAAAGGAATTTGCGCATGCACTGGATAAATTCAAAA